CCCCCCCCCCTCACTCTTCCAGGCCTGGGAATCTGACACCACTCTGGGGAAAATAAATCACCCACTTCCCTTGTTGGTGCCGGCTGGGGCCGCAGTAGTTGACCGCTTGTTTATGTCTTGAAGCTGCACACATCCTCATGTGCATACAATAGCAAAGAAACGTTTTATAACGATACGACTTTGCTCTCAACTCAAAATCTTCACACTTTATTTTGAAAGTTAGCTCTCCTAGAATTCATTTTTACACGTGCCCTACTTAAATTTCCATAAGCGTATATCTTTGCCAAAAAACTCAAGTCCTGGTTTATCCTTAGCCATTAGGCCACAGCATTTAATGTAGGTCAGAGCCTGAGTTGGTAAATGCTGCATTCAGGACTCACCGATGAACAGAGGAATGCTTTTCAGCCAAAAAGGAAAGAAAGAAATTCCTGGCCGCTGTGCCAACTCTGCACACAGCGTGACCTTGTTCAAACTACTATGACTGTGTGTAAGGAGGAAGAAAGTTTGGGTAATGCCTTTCAATTGTAAACACGGGTGTGTCTGGGTTTCAGGACGTCAGGGGGGTGGAGACTGATGTGTGTTTTCATTTGAATCTGTCTGTACTTGAACCATTTAACTGACACTGAAATGCCCTCTGAACTGTCACACATACCTGATCGTTTTCTGTTTCTTGCACAAAGAAAGCTTCTCCGTTGTCCCCAAGCTTCATATGTAGATCCACTGGCTCTCCATTGATCTCCATGTCCACCTGGAGGAGAGGAGAAAGGGGCAAACGATGGGGGAAAAGGAGGAATGGATGGAAACAAGACTAGTCCTCAGTCCTCGAACATTTAAAAGGTTACAACTCCATCGCTGTGAAACTGTTGCCCTTAACTACAAAGGCATTTTTATCTCCTCACCACTTTCTCTCGGGACCGCAGGACACCCATCTTGCCAAAACGGACGTGAAACGGCGAGCACTGCAGCGATCCATCAGGCTGTCTCACTACAATGACGTCGATGCAGCCAGAAAGGGTAGCGGGGTTGAGGCCTCGGTACAGCTCTTTGACCTGGACGAACACCTGGCCTGCCAACTGGCCCACGTAGTTCATGGTCTGACGGGTCTGGTGGAGGGGACAGTGAAGGGGTCAGAGGTAGACGGGAAAGAGGAACGGAGAAATGAAACCACATCCAAAAGAAAAGGTCTACTTAAATCGCCCACCATGCCTCGAACTCCATCAACCTTCAGAAGAGGAGGTGTTTATGAACCGGCATCTGCTGCGCCATTCCGCAGCCTGTCAATCAAAGCATTCATGACGTATAACTCTCCCTCACGGGAATGTGGTCTCTGATCTGAAGTCTGTTTTTGAGCTCCTCTATGACCGGTATGGCCCGAGAAAGAGGACATGGACATGGCTGTTTCCTGTTCAGTACTCTTGTAATTTGTCCCAGGACGGTCTGTGGCCTACATACTGTAGGAAGAACCTGCTGCCGCTGTGACCTTAACACCCTCTTCTCCCCCCGCCCCGATAACTCTGGCAATCCTATCCCACTGTTTTCCATCCAGCAACCCCAGACAACAGAGGTCAAAGGACACACCACTTTAGACCAGTCTGTACTCATGTAATGAAGCTGATGTCAGAGCCCTCGGATGTGGTTTGGTCACAACCAAGTTTTAAGAGAAGTCATGGAGAAACACTTAAGGTTTGAAGCCATGTTGTGAGGGGCTTTAAAGGTCCAGCGTGTAGGATTTAGTGGCAGATTACAACCCCCTCGTCTACTCCTTCAACACCATAAAAACTGCTCATTCTAAGGTAACAGAAACACAACGACTCTTATTTTCAGGTGATTTACACACGGATGAAAACACATCTATGAATATTATGTTCCGTTTCTGCCAATGGATGCTCCTAAATGTTAGACACTTCCCCTTAGTCGTAAAATTTAGTCCTATCGATCTTGACATAATTATGGATCATACACAACATTCTTTCCATTTATTTCTGAAACAAGCAAAGTTTACTGACCAAAGCCTTTAAATGTTCACATTTAAAACCTCACTGACAGCCAACAAATACATAACACTCGTCACTACTGGATTTGTGTCGGCACATAGACGCAATTGTTAACTTGTTAACCTGTCTTTGTCTGTATCCTCTCAGTTAAATCACATTTTCCCACTAAACCACAGCAAAGGAATGCAAATATGTAGTTAGATAAACATATGTTTCTGCCAGTAGCCTTTGGATTGAGGAGCATTAACAGCATAAGGTGAGGTCAACAAGGTAAAGGGGAAAAAATGATACCATTTAAAGAGCATCATTTCAGCCTCATCCCTGCTGACGCCATACAATGACTAGATTATATAGATTTCTATGATACAAACACCAATGGCCAAATGGAATAAATCCCACTTCCAGCTTTCAGGCAAGACTCCTTGGAGCTTGCAGCAGCTGTCTAATAACAGCTAAGGGGTCTGACCTTGACTCAGTTGGCGGTGGGCCCCTGAAATGATTGCATCAACAGGGAAGATAAGTTTGGAACAATGCCAACATATCTACACCCCCCCCCACCCCCGTCCCTATTTGAGCACGTGACCAGGAGAAGAGGCCCCTCACAATAGAACAGGAGCCCTAATTTTAGAGCAGCAGATGAATCCGGGGATCCATGACAATGCCTGCATCTTGAAATACTTCTTATAGATGACCTTCACCCTGCTCAATTATTCATTTGACTTTTCCACTGAAGCATTGAGTTACAGAGCTGCGAGCAAACATCTGATTTTCAAAGTAAAGGTCTTTTGGTGTGAACACTGCTCCAAAAATAGATGTTCTTGTGTTCTAGACAGAAAGAGGAACAGTGTCTCAAAACCCTGACAGCACTTTGAGAGGTCCTATTTTAAAAACCCTGAGACTGAGGTGGTTTTTAACTGTGGTAGCCCGTGCTCATTAGTTTAATGGATTTACAGGCTGCAGTTATTAAGATTTCCTTGTATGCTGGAATCTGGCTGAGCCACTCTGCTGTGCTGCGAATATACATGGACACTTTCATTTTCTCATTAGTCCTATATTACTCACAAAATATAATCTGCAATCATCAGTTAAGAAAATAAAAGCCTCAGCAAGATAAATTACTAGTTTAATTAAAATGACACAAAAAGATGCCTTGTGCCTCACACCAACACCCAAACCCAAACCACACATTCAATTCAAAATCAAAATCCAATAGATGTAGGTAAATAGCTGACTCACAACACGAGAGTGCCTATGGGAAACGGTATTTATGAACGATACATCTTTAATAACTATAAGGACGCGCTATTTATCAAAACATATACGTACATATGTACGAACAACAGAGCATCCATCAGACATATCGTTAAACAGGCAGGTGCTTTAAAATACATGATAAAAACAGGCTCATACCTTTTATAGCTGAGTATGCTGACAGCCTTTACCAAAACACGGAGACTGGTGTTTCCTTAGCGGTGAATGACGGCACAACAAGACATTACAGAGTCGGCTTTTCCCTTTAGAGGTTATTTCTGAGTGTTTTATAAAGCCCTGACTTGCTGTCATCGACTTATATCGCCAAGGAACGGACTATTTAAGTCAACGCGATATTCATATATGTCTGTCTGGCTGTCTCTCTCTCTCTCGCGCTGTGTCTCTCGGGGAACCTTGTCAGTGGATGACATCAACTGCAGCGCAAACCCGCCTGCGGACCAATCAGCGTCGAGCTGTTGAGTTGCCAAACGCATCGTTTCAGCTGCCACAGTGGCAACCAAATTACTGCTGCTTGATTACATTGTTGCAGACTGTTGACTGACGGCGTCAAACTGGCGAAGGTTTGCCGTGTTTATGGTTCATATTCATTATTATCTTATGTGAAAAGAGCCACGAATTATACTCTGCTTTTATTAAGTCGCATTGTACTTGTCATTGGCTATCTAAAAGTTAAAGAAATAGGTTAATTCATTTAAGAACCATACAGGCTTTATGTTTTTCGAGTGAAAACTACATCCTCGCGGGTCGCCACGCTTTAATGTCGGATGTTTTAGGAGATATTATTATACATCCATGTTTAAAGAGCACTGAAGGAAACGGTATCCGTACCCAGCAGCTATGACGGCGGGAAACAGCGGGGCTACGTCAGCGTTTGAAGTCACCCAGTCGGTCTGGTGCAGTGAGGTGATCTTTTCAGCCAATCACAGCCCTGTATGGTAGCACATGCGATGTTCGCAGTTTAACCTGAGACCCTCCAGTGAAACTGTGTGTGTCTGGAGAGGATGTGGGTGACTGGTGGGGGCGATGTGCAGTACTCAACACCAACAAAACCTAATTCATGACCGTATAGTAGCAACAAATACAAACCCACCGACTTACACAGGCTTTGATACACCTAAAATATGATGGTGTAGATTTTACATGCTCAAATTAATATCAAATTTGCTTCATTGGAATGAATAAAGTTACATTATTGCCTCTCTCCCTCTCCCTCCCCCCCTCTCTCTGTCTCTGTCTCTTCCTGTCTCTGTGTGTGTGTGTGTGTGTGTTCAAGTGGGAACACAGGCAATTTGACAGCAAAATATATTTCTGTTCATGGAAGACCTCCCCGCACCAGCCCAAATATTTGATGGGCTACACGCTACAACAGCCTCACGTGCAGCTCTCCAACAACAGGAGCCAGTTCAATGAGAGAGAGAGAGAGAGAGAGAGAGAGTGTCTGTGTGTGTGTGTGTGTGTGTGCGCGCACATGGGAACTAATTGTTTTTCCAGACTGTAAAACTTTCTGGGCTAAACCAGAAAAGGAAGAATGGGTATCTTCGTTTGGGGTTTTTTTCCCATCACGCTGCTGAGCCCTGTGTGTTCTTACCTTGCGCACACTGTACTTTTAAAATGTTCATACTGTCATGCCAGATTACATTATTGTGAAATAAATTACAACAATTCAAGATAAAAAATGGTTGATTATTTGTTGAGTAGCAGGCGGTGTCATGTCACTATGTTAGTACAATGTCAGCTCTGTTGTGTCATCTGGTACTTGTGTGTGTCTGTCTTGTGGTTTTCAGCCTTACTGGTTCAGTATGTTTAGTTTCCGTAACAGTTTGTTTCCTCTTCCATCTTTTTTTTGTCGAACTGCTGACCCTGCACCAACCTGCAACCTCGGCTGACATTAAGCTCTTTTATGAATGGATTGATTGGTGGAATTGTTATTCCTGTTACTGCACAACAAGTTATGTAAAATGTTCTATCATTGTCCTGTGATATAAAAAGTATGCTCTTGCGATTCCTCCCCCATGCTGACAGTTGTTTTGTTTTTATTGCATAACTAGAATATAAGCAATGGAGACACATTTGTAAGGAAGCTCTCCTCCCCTGCGTCCACAAGTGAGCTAGTGGTAATTTACACTCGTCACACCCTGAATGCACCATGTACATCTCAGCATATTCATCACATCTGTTGCATTAACACCTCATATGGACGTTAACCCTGCAACCCTACTTTCTATCACGTTTACTCAAAAATGTGACGTTAAATGTCTCTACCGTAATTACAAAGTACATACAGTAACAATCCTGAAATAACTATGCGTGACATGCACCCAGACCATTATATGTAACCATTAGCAGTGGTCATAGTGGCACTGCTACATGTACTGGTTGTCTGCACATCAGTCTTTATGTCACTATCACTGGATTCTCCAGAGACATATGAGCCAAGCAGCTGCCCTGAGACATATTTATATGAAGAAGCTGCTTTGCCAGGAAGAGCTGAACTCAGTCGATGTACTCTGGACACAAACCAGACATTTTGACGTGTATGGTCAGTGCTGTGTCCAGGATCAGGCTACAGCAAACAAGTTGATATCTGACTGCGTCACTAAACCAGTGTTTTTAAAAATAAAACTGAGAAGCCCTTCACTAAACTACATCCGCACTTATCAGCTGAATGAATTTGCTTGAATTTTTAAATGTTTTTATTGATTTATTTTACCTGCATTCACACTGTATTACAGGGGGCCTAATTTGCTACCTGTAGTTTGACCTTATTTAGCATTGCACCCAGAATTCACCCTCTCTGCTTGAAGGAGTGTCTTGGCTGGTGTTAACACTCAGTTCAGCCAATCACAACTTTGACTGTATGGATTTGTAGCCATGAGCTGACTGCTTCCTGCCCACCAATCAGGTTGAAGTAGGGCATACTTTTGTTTACTCTACATTCATAAAAATGCCTAAATAAGGATTTATTTTGAATCTGTGTGAGAGAAAACCAGATTTAGGTGTTTCAGTGTCACACCTCCCACATTTTCAGGTTAAATGTTTTCACCAAACTTTTTATACACCTCCTATAAACCTTTTATGCACTTAAACTGTGCAACGGTAGGACTCTGACAGTAGTTCTAAATGAACATGAGTAACCCCTCAATCTGCCTCAAGCCATGAAAAACAATAAGTACTAGTCACTATGTGGAGAAGTCATTCCAGTTGACTCAGCAAGGGCATGGTGCTTTAACAAATTCATTGCATAATAACGATTTTTCTTTTTCTTTTTTCAACACACTTGTTTAATATCAAGGCCTCTGATTGGCTCAGGCTATTCTGGCCTGAGAGTCATGAGACCTGACTGAAACATTAGCTGGAACTGCCAAACTGTGATACACTGATTAAAAGGAAAAACTCTTTGTCTTGAATGAGTGAGATTATGGGTGTATGAGACAGGTTTAAACGCCCTCTTGGGCAAAACATTGTTGTCTTATGGCTGTTAATGGGAACAGAAAATGAGATGGAAAACTTTTATTTTCTCAACATTTAAAAAGGGGATATTTCAAAAAGAAATATGACCAGCGTTTTGGTCACAACTTCTGCAAAAGGCCACATGATTAAGAACTTTTTGTTTCATTATGTACAATATGGGTTGCATTCAGGGAGACGGCCCTTGTTTTATTAAAACATTTTACAAAATGAATGTAAGATTGTATGTAGCTGACATCAATTGCCATAGATTTTTCCTGACCTTTACGTCACCTAATAAGTGTGTGTTGCAAGCTGTCATTTTGTATGACACATGTTGTTTTACTTTTCAGGTAGAATCTCTTCTTACCAAATAACCAAGACTCATAAAACCACAGCGGTAGTGAGAGGATCATCTGATCCATGAGGCTATCCCTCCACCTGGCTTCACAGCCCTGTCCCCTCTCGTCCCCCCCTGCCCCCTTTTCTTCTCCTCCCTCCCATATTTCAGTGGGAGCAGATCGTCTTACGGAGGGGGGGGGGATTACTGGAACAGACACCCCCTGGTCTAACTGCCTCAGCTGTCCCAAGAAAAAACTACAGGACATGTTACTTTAAAATACTATTTCTAATTATTTAATTTAAGTTCAGATTTAATAAAAACAGACCATAATTTCGAATGACTTAAAGTTGTCTTCAGTCCTGCTCTGTGATACCTGCATACATGTATCCAGACACACAGTTTTTCTTCTGCATGCATTTCTCTCTGTTCATACTGTAAACTGCATGTAAAAGCATAATCCTCCACCTTTAAATCCAATGATTGTGTTCAAGACGTACTCTCTATTTTAACCCTATAATTCATGCTTTTGTTTTCACACATGCAGATGATTTACAAATGACTTTACCCAGCTCCAGGTGGTGTCCGTGGCATACTGCTCAACAGCCTCATTTAACTCTTCGTCATCCTCTGCCGATGTCATGATTCCATAATGTATTTGATCCCAGCTGTCTGGTCTAAACAGGTGTGTATGTATGAAACTCCACAAGTCCGGTCCAGTCGAGAAATTGTGTCTTCACTCTGTGAGCATGTCAAGTGTCTGACTTCAGGGTACCAGTGGACAGCGTCTTACTAAATTTACCTGGGCCCCCTCATCAGTAACCTGAGACAGTCCCCGAGTGGTCATCATCCACCAGACCCTCTGACTTCTTTGGTATTTGAGGAGGGGGACACCTGTTAGGATTGTTTATCAGAATGTTGATCTGGACTTCCTCTCACACTCACACACACACACACAATCACACAGCAGTCAGACGACAAATTACCTCGACACAGAGCGTCCCCTCCTAATGCATGCCTGACAGTTTTTCAATGTGTAAATTCCTCATTAGTTAACACACAGATTGTGACACCTGTTGTTGCTGTTGACCCCATGTTGACCGTGGTACTGACATTCAGAGGAAAGAGAGCACCTGTCGCATGGGGTGGACTCCAAGTCTCCCTGGTGCCCAGTGACTCTTCCAGTGACCACTGTAATTAATATGACGCTGGTGTCACTGATGTGTTTGAACTAATAACCTTTTATATATATGTGATAGGCCAGCTGACTGCTTGTAACCATGACATCTGTCTCAATGTGAAACCTTGTTCAATAAAGGTCTACACTGCACTCCAGTGGTCCAAAGGGGTAAACACATCCAGACTTAGAATTAACGGCACAGAGTTGCCTTCACTTGCCAAAATAAAGCTCAGGCTTATACGTACTTGGGTTGTATAGAATTGTTACACGGTAGTAAATAATAACTAAATATGTCTAGAAACAAAATACATCCTCTTATTCACATATCCTAGGAAAAACAACAACCTATTTTAGTATAGTACTAAGTATTTTACATGTTTTGATTAAGGTCAGGTTAGATTTTGTTGGTTAATTAAAGAAGAGAAAGTTAAGTTTAGCTTTACTAGGTCGGTAAAAGGTTTGGTCAGGGTTTTAATTACTGTATGTTTGTAAATAAAACCCCAGATGCACATTCTTCCCATTTTTCATGTGATGAATACATAATACACAATACAACTTACAGACTTAAGAGAATTATTGTCTAGTGCTAGAAGAAAACATTTGTATAATATGGACTAAATAACGACCACCACCAAAATAGACACAAAAAATACCAAAACCCATTATTATTAACTGTTAATAACTATAACTGCTGCATTCCCGTGTCACAAAGTTAATGTCCGGCAGCACCTGAAGGCAGCACAACACCTCCTGCTGCGTTCACGGTGTCCTCTTGTCGCATATTGATCCAGCTAGCGGATCGGTAGCTTTTGTGTCAGGATGGTGTCTGTGCTGTGTAAATGTTTGTCCGTTGTTTCTGGCTAAAGGTATCTGGCATTTGGCGGCTTTAATGTTCCGTGCAGCTAATCTAAAAACCATCGGCAAAGCGGGAACCGGCTGGTAGGTGGTCTTTGAAATCACGTAACATATTGTTCACGTCCACTCTCGTGAATCCGGCGGCTAGAGAGCTAAAGCTAACCGTGCTAACTGGCTCAGCGGCAAAGCTAATCT